GGATTGTATAACAGAAGAAAATAATACAAAATACAAAAACGAAAGAAAAAGAGCACACCAAAAAATAATAATCACATAGAAGTTGATAGACACACATAATGAGCTTATATACTCTTATCTCTATTTTTTGTTTAGAAATTCAACATGTAATTAAGAGAAACATCATTATTATTATTTTTTTAATGACGCTCGTCATCATTAATATTAATAATCAGTATTCATATTAGAAGTATTACTATTGGTTAACACTACATATGGGTTTTACTAAAGGCCCCGCCCATGTCACAGAGTTAAAGGGCTCTATCATCTGCCTGACGGGTCGGTGATGGGTGAAGGGTGAAGGGTGAAGGGAGGGAGAGGGTCGTCATCATCCGCCCGTCTTCACGCACGAAACTCACTTTCCCAGAGGACTCCAGCGCTTCATCCGTCCACCTCTCTCCCCCGCTCTGGCGCTCCTCAGCACGACACCTCCATGGTATGGGATGGGCTCGGCAGGAGCTGTCCGCCCTGACTCGGGACCCTGTCGCACGCCCTAGCCCTCGCTCTCGGGAGGTACGAGTAGGAGGACGAGAGCGAGGTGGTGCGCGAGCGCGAGAGACGCGTCATGCAGGACGATGCCACTGAGAGAGAGCAAACAGAAGAAATCGTTGAAAAACAAGAACAAATCAAATAAAATATAACAAATAAAAAATAGATAGATAGATAGAATCAGTGAAAAAAAAAATCCAAAATGTAAGGGGTAAGGATTTAAGAGGAGAATTGTGAAATAAAAAGCATTTATTTAGTTAGTTAGTAACACCATAAAAATATGGTGCTTCTGTCAGTGACTATTTACCAACAAAATGTTACTTGCTCTTGTTAATCTGGTCAAAAATGCACCAAGTCTTGTCTACTTATAATGAGAAGCTAAAATATTGCTGTATATAGGCTAATATTATTATTAACGTTCAAAAGTTTGGGGTCTGTAAGATGGTTTTGAAAAAAGGCTCTCCTGCTCACAAACAAGGCTATATTTATTGGATCAGAAATACAGTAAAAACAGGAATATTGTGAAATATTATTACAATTTATGTTAATTGTTTTCTATGTGAATATATTGTAAAATGTATTTTATTCCTATGATCGAAGCTGAATTTTCAGCATCATTACTCCAGTCTTCAGTGTCACATGATCCTTCAGAAATCATTCTAATATATAGCGCCACCTATGGTCCGATCTCCATGACACTACGCAATGCTTGTTCAGAATCATCTGTCGCATGTGCTCACTTAGTTTCATGAAGTTTTGAGTTTTAATTTAGGATTTATAGGCTTTTGGTCATATTTGGCCATGTCCTTTTCTAAATTAACCCATTATAGCTCCCCAAAGCGTAAAATTAAAAAAAATTGTTTTTGAAGAAAAAAAAATGAAAATGAGCTGTTTATATTTTTGTGGAAACTGATACATC